GTAAATAGTTATAAAATTAAACCAACAGATTTCCTGGAGTCAAAACAGTTGGAAAACATTTTACCCCAAATTGAGTTGTAGGATTTCTGCATCGCCCAAGCTTGGCGATAAACCTCCTCATCGGGAAAAATTGGATGATGAACTCCCTCATTGGACAAGGCTTGGGCGATGAGCACTCTATCTGCCCAAGACATGAGCGATGAAAGGTCTATCCGGACAAGGCTTGGGCGATGAGCACTCGATCCGCCCAAGGCCTAAGCCATGAAAGGAGTACCCGGCAAAGGCTTGGGTAATGAGCTACCAATCCGCCCAAGGCCTGAAAGATAAAAGCTTAAGGTTCTTGGGACAGCAGAGAGCGTTCATAGTTCTGCCTTATCTCAGACGTCGCTGGTATGACGCTGAGCATGGCTCGTGAGACTGTCCTCTCTGTGGTGAAGCCTTCCTTGGCGATCGTTGGTCGATGGCCGTTCATCAGAAACTGCGGAGTGTACAGTTCATCGGCCGGTAGATCGTGTCTCCTCATTGCGTCTTTGATGAAGAGAGCGAAGAACCTTGGGAAGAGAACAGAAGTCAAGGGCTTTCCTGCGGCCTTGAGCTTACATTTCTTGACTACCGCTGCATGGATCTCATTGTAGATGAGGAAAGCGTAGTCCAACGGTAGGTTGAAGAAGAGGCCATACATAATCGTCATGATGTTAATGTTGCCTTGATCCATCAACCCTAGTTTGCATGTCAGGACTCTGTTCAATATGGAAAAGAACATGTTCCACATTGGGGGCAAGAACTGCCTCTTGAAGTCAGAGGCGTTGTGTAGGTCACGATTGTAACCTAGCATTCTGATGAAGCAGAGGATGTCGGAACTTGTGGGTGGCTCGACGTATTGTTCGATGCCGAGTTCTTGGCGAGTAGGAATGCAAAGGACTTTTGAGACCTTTGCTCGTGAGATCTTAAGGGAGCAAACCATGTCGTTTGGGGCGTCTATGTCCCCCATGATTCCACGGCTTTGTGGGTAGAATTCACAAGTTTTCCCGTATTGTTGGACGTACTTGAGAGGTACGCCATTGTCAGTTAAAGTCAAGGCTGGTTGAAGGACGCAGTTTTGGAAAAATTCGATCATAATGGCAAACATGTCTTCGAACAGGTTGGTGCGTAAGTCGATTGCGTGATTGTTTGGCTTGATAGGGAGGAAAACCAGTGCACGACTATCTATGCTGGTTGATTGCACGTGGCTATCGTTGTTGTTCGATTCATGGGAGGCAGAGGAAGCCATTGTTGTTTGAAGTTGCAGGTTTTTGCTATTTGTTGTTCGTCTTAAGAAGTTGCAGGTTTAGAAAGCGTAAAGAAGAAATGGTTGAGGAAGATGAGTATATATAGGTGGAGAATGGGGAAGGGCGTAATATTAAAAGAATAATGATGATGGTGGGAGACGTTTGGCAAAAAGGTGATATGGTGGGGATCGTGTGCCATCTTGACAGTGTCATGCCATTAATGTTGGAGGACACGTGTCAATTTGGGGATAGTAGATGGGTAATATGAAGAGGTTTTATGGGGAACATGCTGTAAATATGGCAGGCTTTTGTGTAAGATGACGTTCGGATTATTTGGAATAATTAAATAATTATTCCAAATAATATCTCTTGACATATCAATCCAAAAAAAAAAATTATATTTAAAAAATTCCATCTAATTGTAAGATTAATACTAATTACGAAGTTTTGGTCTTCTAAAAACCCATATTGTATAGTTTTTAGTCACAAAAGCTGCAATTTTGTATATCTTTAAAAAGTTTTCAATTAAGATGGGTTTTGGATGAAAAAGATTTTGTCATGGAACCAGAGCCGCTCTGGTTGGTCATGACTCTTTGGATGGGGAACCAGAGGTCTCTGGTTAAACATGACCTTTTGGATGAGGAACCAGAGGTCTCTGGTTGAGCATGATGAATAAGATCATCGATGGAATGTTGGGTTGTATGAATAATAAGCCTTGGATAGATAAACCAGAGGCTTTGGATAAGCATGGACAACCCATTATAAGCCTTGGATTGATCATTTATCTAGCATTTTGGTGTCCAGAGGCTCTGGATAGTAGAACCAGAGGCTCTGGGATGGTAAATGCATATTTATGCAATGTAAATGTATGATGAATGAAAAACTCCCCCTCAAATGATGCATGTGGATGAGATTTGAGTTTAAAACTCCCCCTAGAACCAATAAGGAGGTTGATTTTGATGACCAGAGGCTCTGGTCTATACAACCAGAGGCTTTGGTTGTGAAAGATGATGGAGATTGATATGAAATGTGGTTAAGTATGAGAATGGACATGAAAATGAATGAGTCTTTGAGACTAGAGGGCTCTGGTTCCAAAGACAACAAATCCAGAGGATCTGGTCTTTAGAACCAGAGGCTCTGGTTGCGAAAGCGATGCAAAGAAATATGAAATTATGGTTAAGTATATGTTGGGTTACCTATTGATTTGGTGATGACCCACTGATCTGTTCCTCTACCTTAGCAACACTTAGTAGTTATTGGTTCTTTGTAAGTTGGTGTCTTGGTACATACTTTAAGCCATTGGCAAAATCGAAGACTAGCCGATGTGAAGACAGATGGTCACCGATGCGGTGTTGTGGATCAACTGTCTAATATACACACCAAGACTCCAAAGTAGCTAAAATGCATATTGAAAATATTTGGAAGCTACAAGCCGATTGAAGGAAGATCTTCATAGACCGAAGATTGAAAATCTTCATGGACTCAAGATTGAAGATCATGGACCGAAGATTGAAAATCTCCATGGACCGAAGACTTATGT